TCCCACCTCAAGCCGCACCTCCATCTCCTACCGACCAACCTCATCCCGCCCCCTTGACCTGTCCGTCCTCCCTGGACTGACCTATCCCCTTCCTAACTCCCTACCTACACTCACCTTTACTGGCTCCATCCCCGCCTCTTCGACCTGTTTGTTTCCTCTCCACCTATCCTCTCCTCTATCCCTCTTCTATCCGCCTCCCACTCTCTCCCTATTTATTTCAGAACCCCCTTCCCCTCCCCCTTTTCTGATGAAGGGTCTAGGCCCGAAACATCAGCCTCTCTGCTCCTATGATGCTGCTTGGCCTGCTGTGTTCATCCAGCCCTGCACCTTGTTGTCCCTTTGTGCTGTTGCTGTTTGTAATTTGTAATTGGAGAAATGGCTGATTTCATTGGTGAAGGAAAACTAACAACAATCTTTTTTGTTGTGTGGCCTTTCCGAATAGTACAGTAACATTTCTTATGACATGAAGCCAATAAAAAGGCAAACTGAAGCACTAGGACTTATTTCCCCGAGACTAGAGGACATAGGTTTAAGGTGAGAGGGGGAAAGAATTAAAAGGAACCAAAGGGACAACATTTTCATGTAGAGTGGTGTGTATATGGAACAAGCTGCCAGAGGAAGTGGTGGAGATTGGTACAATTACAACATTTAAAAGGCATCGGGATGGGTGCATGAATAGGCAGGGTTTAGAGGGATATGGGCCAAATGTTTGCAAATGGGACTAGATTAACTTAGGATATGTGGTTGGCATGGGCAAGTTGGACCGAAGGGTTTGTTTCTGTGCTGTGCAGCTTTATGACTCTATGGCTGGCATTGAGGAGCAGGGGATATATGCTTAACCTGTTTTATATTTGGTTTAGAAAAGTATGTGTGCAATTATGTTATTTAAAAAATGGATATGGAGACAACAAGGGAGGTGCAGAGATTTACTAGAAACAGGCCAGAAATAGATAGATATCCCTATTAGGAACGTATTGACAGCCTGTTTGTCCTCTGTCTTGATAAAAGAAGACGTCTCAGTTGGGGGAAGGAGTCATTTTGTGATGATCTTTAAAAAGATTTTGATTAAGTAGATACAGACAGAATGCTTCCTCACGTGGGTAAGACTGTAGCCAGGGGCCATCAATATAAGGTCATCACTAGGAAATCAAATAGAGAATTCAGAAGGAAATTGCAGCTCAGCAGATCAGTGATTAGGGTGTGGGACCCACTAATGCAGGGATTAGTGCAAGCCAACAGTAAAGAAGCATTCCACTGGAGGTCAAACAGCTGAATGTGGAGAAGGTGACAGTGATACATTTAGGTAAGGAGAAAAGGGAGAGCTTGAAAGGAGCATGTACTGGTTGGACCGAATGGCCTGCTTCAGTGCCATTCCTAATTGAGAAATGTGCATCTGCAAAGTCAGGTGTTAGACTGAGTGTAAAAGCCACTTTTCATGCATGTGAAACTTGGTTTCACTCTGACGATCTTCATGAAACTGGGAACACCACATTTAAACACAATTCATCATTTTTAAAATTTTTCTTGTTTGATTAGTGGCACGACATCTTCTATCACTGAACCTGTGCTCAAGTTGGACCTACCTCTGCTTTGGAGCGTGTGGAATTAACTTAAAAAGATGTAGTAACGCTGTTTTGAAGTGAGTAGGTAGAAATATCGAGACACTGGTTGTGCGATGTATAAACCTAGAACAGAGAGGACAAAAGATGAAAGACTGTATCTGTCATATAGGGTGAGCTGATAAAAATACTGAGCCTTATCTGATACCTCCATATTGAAGTGTTGGTTCGTTTCAAGACTGATAAGAAAGATTGATAATGCCAAATATGGTCATACTAAATAAAGCTGGAAGCTTTGTTCTTTGTCAACTTTGACATGAATATTTTCCTTTAAACAAACCCGAAGAGTAATTCACATTGCTTGTATTGAGTTGTTGCATGAAGGTAAGGAGGACATACATGTGTTTTTTGAGGTAACGACTCTGTTCGTTCTCTCTCTGTTTACCAAACCTCACAACTACGTCCTGATATTAAACACCCTCCTTTCCTCTGCCGAAGGCGATAAGCAGTTGTTCCCAGCAAGTAGCGCCAGGCTCAGCCACGCTGTCTGTGGTTTCTTTTCCTCCTTCAGTATTTTTGGGTCTCGCTGGCAAGGCCAGCATTGGTTGTCCGTCCCTAATTGCCCTTGAACTGAGATGCTTGCTAAGCCATTTCAGAGGGCAATTAAGAGTCAAAGGCACTGGCTGTACATTTGGGGTCACGAGTGGGCCAGACCAGGTAATGTCTTCCTAACACTTGTGGACCAGATGGATTTTGTATGTCAGACCATTTCATGATCAACATCATTCACCTCATATTCCAGACCTTATAGAGTCATCCAGCACAGAAACAGACCCTTTGGTCCAGCTCATCTGCATCTCAATCTGACCTTCTCCCACTTGCCAGCATTTGGCCCATATCCTTCTCAACCCTTCCTATTCACACACACATCCAGATGCCTCATAAATGTTGCTATTGTACCAGTCTCCTCCACTTCCTCTGGCAAGTCATTCCATACGCACACCACCCTCGGTGTGAAAAAGTTGCCCCTTAGGTCCCTTTTTTATCTCTCCCCTCTCACCTTAAACCTGTGCCCTCTAGTTTTGGATTCCCTACTTGGGAAAAAAGACTTTGGCTATTCACCCTACCCATACCCCTCATGATTTTATAAATCTCCATAACGTTACCCCTCAGCCTCCTATGGTCCAGGGAAAAAAAAGTCCCAGCCTATTCAGCCTCCCTCTATAACTCAAACCCTTCAGTCCAGACAATATTCTTGTAGATCTTTTCTGCACCCCTTCAATATTCTTCCTACAGAAGGGCGACAAGAATGCAGCATTGTAAAAGTGGCCTAACCAATGTTCTGTACAGCTGTAACATGATTCCTCAACTCCTATACTCAATGCACTGACCAATGAAGGCAAGGGTGGCAAATGCCTTTTTCACACTCCAAGGAAATATGCACCTGCAACCCTAGATCTCTTTGTTCAGCAACACTCCCCAGGACCCTACTATTAACTGTGTAAATTATTAATTGTGTTTAAATACCACGACCTTCCATAACAGGATTTGAACTCATGTTCCTGGCTTTGCAAACCTCAAACAGATCTCCCTCTCAGCCTTTTTTTCTCTGAGGAGAACAATCCAATATCTTCAATCTATTCTCGCAACTGAAGTTTCTCGATCCTGAAATCATTCCTGCAAATGGCTCCGGCTCTCTTTCTCAGGTGCATTCACGTCTTTCCTATAATGTGGTGCTCATAGCTGTAGACAATACACCAGCTGAGGTCTAACTAGTGTCTTCTAGAGTACTCAAGTACGCAGCTCAGACACAATCCGTTTTAGGGAAACGGCTCTTTGGCTGACCCGAATCTCAAGCATTTAATCCTCAGAAGGGGCATTTTTCTCATTGGTGGAGCTGCTTTCAATGACGCTTGTGTGTAGAGTGCATTATCATCAGGTTTGCACTGAGGCTGAGTGAGCTTTCACCGACCTGTACTCAACCACTGGGATCTGGAAGATCCCAGACTCGGAGATCATTCTTGACTCAATTCCTTGATTGTTACCAGCCTAGGGAATGGGGAGCTTCAATTTACGTGAGTGACATTTGGGCCAGGGAGGGCAATAATTAACATAGACCCCTGTGACTAAGCAGTGGCCAAAGCCTCCAGTCTGTAGTAGCAGTAGCACTGCAGGGATAGTGGAGAGAGCAGAAGAGAAACTTTATTTAGTGCCTTTCAAACCATGAAGACCTTCACAGCCAACAAGGCAGGCTCTCCATCGTCTCAGAGGCGAGAAATTTGCAGCCCAAGTCTATGCACTGCAAGGTCTCACTGGCAATGCGATTAAAGCCCTCTGCAACCCTGGTGAAGGAGGGGAAGAATTAGCCAGGGGCCCTCCCATCCTCCTTCCCGTGCCTGCCACCCAGTGGGTCAGGGTTGGTCTTTGGATTGGCCCTTCTGACTGAGTGGTCTGTCAACACGAGCACCTCCTGCATGAGAGAGATGACCACTCGAATTTCACAAGACTGCAGGCTTGTAGTAAGCAGTAAAAATAGAACGTGTGGTCACAGTGATTGTGCAAGCACGTTACCATAAAAAAAATACACTAAAGGTCACCTACCCACAGCAGGAATGGAAATGTCAATACAAGCACCAACCCTCACTAATATTCACGTTTGATACAGTCCGTTTCTGTGCAGCGAAACATTCCACAACACAGTGCAAAATCTTCAGATCTAAAACGCACCAGTTCTCACAGCTTTGCCCAGCAATGCGATAATTTGAACTGGCACATGGTTTCTTATGTGTTAACTCTCCTCCACCCCAGTATCTCACCCCGAGTGACCACTCTTCACAGTCTCAACTTCTGGGCTGGCAGCTTTACCTCTGAGTGGTAGAGGTCATGGGTTCATAGTGCAGCTCAGGAGACTCAAGCCCGGCGCTGGGGTGGCAGCAGAGGGCAACATACTTCACTGTGCTAGATGCCACCTCTCAAATCTCGTTGGACACAAATTGTAGAAAATTTATTTGCGAATTATGTTGTGTTTGATGCACATGAGTTCTTGTTTAAGTCTTGAATTCAAGGTGGTGGCGGAGTAGAATGCTTCAGCTGGAGCTCATCCACTCAGTCCATTGTTGCTTTTTTTCTCTCTTTTTATTTCTCTCTCTCTTGTGTTTTTTTCTCCTCTTCTGTCTTTTTCCAGAGTGGAGTGGGGATGGCGGCCGGGAACAAAGCTGGCTACTGGTTGGAACCGGTGAAGCCCAGTCAGACCATGTGGAAGCCCTTAATGTGTATCTTTTTAGCTTTATTTCTCATTTTCTTAACTTATACTTACACTATGTATATCTGCAATGTAGTGTAACCTTTTTTTAAAGTCCACAAGCTTCAAAATCTCCCCACCCCCTGACCTCATCCCAAGACCAGCCCTCACTCACATCCCCACCTCCTGGACCTGTCTGTCTTCCCTCCCAGCTACCCGTCCCTCCCTCCTCACTGACCAACCCCCATCTCAACTCCCTACCTATGCTCACCTTTACTGGCTCCATCCCCGCCTCCTTGACTTGTCCATCTTTTCTCCACCTATCTGCTCCTCTATCCACCTTCTATCATCGCCTCCCCCCTTCTCTATTTATTTCAGAGCCCCCTTCCCCTCCCCCATTTCTGAAGAAGGGTCCAGACCCGAAATGTCAGCTTTTCTGTCCCTCTGATGCTGCCTGGCCTGCTGTGTTCATCCAGCTCCACACCTTGTTATCTCTTTTATTTTCTCTATTTTCTCTATTTTTGTACCTCAGATTTGTACTTAGGTAGCTAAGATGGTGCTGTGTGTTGACGATATTGTACACTTTTCATTGCACTCCTGTTCTTTTGTGACTTCAGTAAACGTGACAATAAACCTAATTCTAAGTTCTAAATGGGATCTTGTTGGACACAGCTTAAACAAGCTTTATTTACAAATTATGATGGCGCCTCTTATGTCAATGTGAAAAGAACAGATCTCATGGCATTATTTTGAGAAAGAGCAAGGGGACTTCTCCCTATGCTCCTGGGTAACATTTGTCCCTCAACCAACAACACTACAAGACAGAATAAAACACTGCTGATGCTGGAAATCCGAAAGAGAAATTGCTAGATCAGCAGATAGGTTACAGAGTTAATGTTTTGGATCCAGCGGCCTCTGAAGAAGCATCTATTTGCTTGAATCCCAATTCCCAGCTCTTGGCTGCCATTCTAAGTGCTAATCTAAATGCTTCTCAAATGTTGTAATAAGCTTCCCCCTTTCAGTCAGGGAGTTCCAGATACAGACCACCCTCTGGGTGAAAGATTTTCTCTTTTAAGTCCTCTCTAAACCTCTTGGCCCTTACCTTAAATATGTGTCCCCTGATCCCTCTGCTAAGCAGAAATGTTTATTTCTATTGACCCCGTCTATGCCCCTTATAATTCCGGGGACCTTGAAGTTCTCTGCTCCAAGGAAAGCAGCCCTAGTTCACTTCAAGGCTGAAAAGCTCTAGCCCAGCATCACAACACAGAAGGAGGCCATTCAGCCCATCATGTTTGCACAGGCTCTCTGAATGAGCAATTCCCCTGGTGCCAGTCTCCTGCTTTCTCCTCATGTAGAAAATAAGAACAGGAATAGGCCATTCGGCCCTTCGAGCCTCCTCCCTTTGCGTAACAAGAAACATAACGATCTCAGCTTTGAATGTTTCAGTTAAAGCACCAGCCGAAACATCTTTCTGGATGTGAGAACTCCAAGTGTTTACTACACATTGCGCAAAGTAATCTAATGTGTTCTGGGAAGGGGAAACCAGGGTTTGTTCCCCTGATGATTAATTCTACTCCACGCTCGATCTGCTTTGACACTGGTGACCCCAATCAGTTGAAAGCTACCACACCCCACTCCTCGCTATGACTGAGTATGGAGAATGCTTTAGATCCATCCCCCAAAATGGCAATGAGGCCTAGTCATTATCCAGTGGTAGAAGGAAATAGGTAAGCTTCATTTTAATGGCTATATGACAAAGCCAAATGGTAGGTGAGAAGGAGCTGTCCCAGCTTTAGAAATCAATGGGTCTAGAGTCCCCTTTGAGGACCTCATAAAAAAAGGCCTCAGTGCAGGATAATAATTGGTATTGGCAGTGAAATTGAAACACCAAGCTTTCATTGTGAGCCAGGAGGGGGAACCTCCCAGTAAATGAAAACCGAGAGCAGGTGATGGTGAATTTTTTTGTAATTCATTGAGTTATCGTGATCCCGAATGTGTGGCTTGAAGTCGAGCTGAATGCGACTTGCAAAGGGAATTTAGTGAATACTGGGAAAGAGAGGGAGGTTGGTAGCAAATCTCTTTCCAAGAGTCAACAGACACACATTGGGCTGAATGGCCTCATTCTAAGTTGTGGGATTCTATGCTTGGCAATTTTGAGTTCTCAGGCAAAGAATGCACACCATTTGGCCCTTTGTATCAATGCTGGCTGAGCCTCTGAAGAATACAAAGGCATTTCAAAAGGTCTGCAACAATCTGTAAATACTGAAAAATGATAAATGACAAACTTCATTGCTCGGACCTTTGAGTGGAGGAGTTGGGACCTTATGTTGAGGTTGTACCGGATGTTGGTGAGCCCTCTTCTGGAGTACTGTGTGCAGTTCTGGTCACCCTGCTATAGGAAGGATATTATTAAGCTGGACAAGATTTACCAGGATGTTGCCAGGAATGGAGGGTTTGAGTTATAAGGAGAGGCTGGATAAGCTGGGACTTTTTTCACTGGAGCATAGGAGGTTGAGAGGTGACCTTATAGAAGTTTATAAAATCATGAGGGGTATAGATAGAGTTAATTGTAGGTACCTTCTCCCTAGGGTAGGGGATTTCAACACCAGGGGGCATATTTTTAAGGTGCAAGGAGAAAGATTTAAAAAGACGTGAGGGGCAAATTTCTGAAGAAGGGCCTAGGCCTGAAACGTCAGCCTTCCTGCTCCTCTGATGCTGCTTGGCCTGCTGCGTTCATCCAGCTCTACACCTTGTTATCTCAGATTCTCCAGCATCTGCAGTTCCTACTATCTCTGAACCAGTTGATTTTTGATATTTTGTAATTGACCTATTCAGAGCTGTTATTACACACCTCTAAAACAGGAAAGACTTGAATCTTGGCCTCCTGGCTCAGAGGTAGCGACGTTACCACTTTGCTACAAAAGCCCAAAATAGCATGGGTCTTGTCTGAAGGGTGTGTCAGCATCTAGCTGAGCTCCAGGGGAGAAAGATGGCCATTTTCTGAAGCTGTGCGAAAGACATTTCTTTTTGTTGTTCAGTGCTCATTTCTGGTGAAACGTGTCATGTGGTTTGGACCGGTGAAAGTGCCCAAAACCAACCAAATAGTCAGTCAAGTGATAAGAACTAACTAGTTATCAGATTATTTGGCTTTGAGTAAAACTGAGATCAGGTAGAAGTCAGATAGACATTTGAGCTCATGATCAACTGGAGAGATGCTCAATAGCTCACAGGATCATCAAAACACATAGAGATAGTGGCTGACTTAGAAACCTGTACTGAATCTGTTCCACTTCCCCAAACTAATCTGAATTTTTGAAGAGCTCCATGTAACCTGTGGAGATCATGATCGCTGGTGTTTGAGGGCAAGAGGTGAGAGGGGTAGTCCTTGACACCAAGGCTGCATTGGCCGACAGTGGCGTCAAACAAATGTAGCATGAACTTCAGGGAGAAAGTGAATACTGGCTGGAGTCACGGCTAATTTAAGCGGAAATGATTGTGCAGGCCAAATGTCTCAATTCCAGGAATAATTTAAGGTGTAAACCTAACGCGAAACATAATCCGCTGCCTTCAGAGGGGTAACAAACTCTTGCCTTGTTCACAATGCCCAAATCTCAAAGAAGAGTACATATATGAATAGCTTCTAATTAACACAAAATGGCATTGAGAGATATTGAAAGCAAGGCAGAACTTTGGTCAATACATTTCTGACTGGTTACACTGAAGTGCCAAGATTAATCCCTGTAGACACAAAAACAGAAGTTGCTGGAAAAGCTCAGCATGTCTGGAAGCATCTGTGAAGAAAAACATAACCAGAGTTAATGTTTCGGGTCCGATGATCCTTGGGTCAGACCGTACCCGAAACATTAACTCTGACTTTTTTCTTCACAGATGCTGCCACACCTGCTGAGCTTTTCCAGCAACTTCCGTTTTTGTTCCTGATTTACAGCATCCGCAGTTCTTTTGGTTTTTATTCCCTGTAGAATCCAGGCCAATCATCAAAGTGCTCAAGATATCGCTGCAATTGTTTAGGGGAGGCAATGGCCTAGTGGTAATTACCACTTGGCTATTAATCCTAGGATCCTAATAATGTTCTGGGAACACAAGTTCAACTCTTGCTATGGTAGCTGGTTGAATTTGATAAAAAAAAATCTGGAATTCAAAGTCTAACAATGACCATGAATTGACTGTTGGGGGGAAAACCCCATCTGGTTCACTAGTGCCCTTTACAGTACATTCCCTTACCTTTTCTGATTTCCTGCTGCTCCTGTGTTTCACATACAAGTCACTCCAAGCTCCTTTGTGTTATAGCATTGTGCAGTTTTCCCTCCTGTTAAATTATATTCTGCTCATCACAGAATCCCTACAGTGTGGAAGCAGACCATTTAGCCCATCAAGTCCACACTGGCCCCTCCAAAGAGCATCTTAACCCCTATCCAAAAATTCCTACTGCCAATCAACCTAGCCTGCACATCTTTGGACTGTGGGAGGAAACCCACAACTGACACATAGAGAATTGGCAGTCGCCACACAGACAGTCACCCAAGGCTGGAACTGACCCCCAGCCCCTGGTGCTGTGAGGCAGCAGTGCCAACCACTGTGCCACCATCCTGCCCCAGCATATAATGATGCAATCACTCAGTTCCTATGTTCTCCCTTCCAAATGAACAATGTCACGTTTTCCCACGTTATATTCAAGGTGCCAACTACTTTGCCTGCTCACTTAACCTATTGATATCTCTCTGTAAACCGTTTCTCTCTCACAACCTACTTTTCCACCTGTCTGAAAATTTGACTATAGTACATTCGCTTCCTTCCTCCAAGTATAACATATTAACATAAGCCTCCTTAAAACTTACCTGCTTGACCAAGCTTCTGGTCATCTGTCTTAGTGGCTAACTTTGCTTTATAACCATCCTGTGAAGTGTGTTGCGTTGTTTTAACGTGTTAAGGGCACTTCGTAAATGTAAATTGTAGTCAGTTATTCACGGATTGAGACGCTACTCTGAATTTTTCTCTTGCCTATGACCCAACTCCTTCATACCAGTTTAAGTCTATTTCCCGTAATCTTAACGCAATCATGTGAACTGAGAGCAGTGTAGCACAGATGTGACTCTGTCTTATTGGCATTTGTTCGCTTCAGAATGCTGAATACTTCGCTCTTTATACCAGGTGAGACAAAAGAGGCAGAAATTGGTTGCGACAGAACTTACGCAACTCGGGGAAGGAAGTGGCAAATGTAATTTGAATTATTGCACAATTTCCACGGAGAAAAGTGATTTGATTGTTCTTTTTTCCAACATGATTGTTGGGTGCAGACCTGCTGTCTGTTCTTAACTATCCAAATTAGGACTGCAGTATGACTCTTCAGAGCACGCAGGTCCAGGCAGCACTGGTATCAACCAATCTGATGTTTCAGGGCGTTTACCTGGTTAATAATGGAGACAGAACAGGAAAACCATAGGCACAAAACCCTACCCAAAACATCGACTTTCCTGCTCCCCAATGCTGCCCAGCCTGCTGTGTTCCTCCAGCTCCACGCTGTGTTATCCCAGTCTGTTCTGCTGGGCTCAGGCAAGGAGTCTGATCCTTAAGATGGAAATCATAGAATCCATACAGTGTCGAAGCAGGCCATTCGGCCTACTGAGTCCAAACTGATCCTCTGAAGAGCTTCCCATCCAGACCCACACCCCTGCCCTTTGACCCCACATTTCCCGTGGCTAATCTACCCTAACCTGCGCACCTTTGGACTGTGAAAGGGAACCCGAGCACCCAGGGGAAACGCACACAGACACAGGGAGAATGCATAAACTCCACACACGCAGACAGTCACCCAAGGCTGGAATCCAGTCTGGATCTCCGTTGCTGTGAGGCAGCAGTGCTGCCTACTGAGCCACTGTGCAGCCAATGAGTTGTGGGAGTGCCAATCTAATTGGCTCTCAGGATGGGAGGGCTTAGAAATCTTATAACTGAACCCGGCGCGTAGGGGACTGAGGACGGGTTTAAAAATACCTGCCTTGCCACTAGCCTGTGGTTGCCCGCTCTCGCTGTGCCCGATCCCATCCCGCGACCAACCGGCACCATCGCCTCCAGGATGCAGAGTGCGACACAAAGAGGGTCACTGTTCCCAGGTGGGTCTAGCCCTGACTTCTGAATCAGAAGGTCCAGGTTCGAGTCCCGTCCCTGGACACATTGGTCAGGGAAAGCGCAATTAGAATGTGACCAAAAAGTGGTTGAGTGTCAACTTCCAACATCGGCCAATGGCACATGGTGAGAGGGGGAGAGATTCCTGGTCAGCCGCGCAATAGAAAGATTCTTTGGCCTCAATGACCACAGCCCCAGAGCACATACACGTTACCACAGCAACGTGGGCATCCTGCATGACCTGTCATATACTACTGTCATTAACGCACAGAAATATGGAAATAATTGACTCACTGAAACCTCTCATCAAATGGTCGTCAAATCCAATCTGTGAAATAAAACAAACAAGCTTCTGTTATTTGCTAAAATGAGCCAAGTTACAATGGCTAAATTGCTGGAGATCGTTATAATTTGGGACACTAAATTTCATTCAAAGACTTTCATAGATAGCAGAGCACAAGAGCAAAATACCACTGCTGCTGTACCATCCTTGAGAAAGGATATACTGGCACGGGAGGGGATGCAGAGGGGGTTCGCTAGGTTGACTCTGGAATTAAGAAAGTTGCCTTATGAGGAGAGATTGAATAGATTGGGACTATACTCATTGGAATTTAGAAGAATGAGGGGGTGATCTTAGAGAAACATACAAAATTATGAAGGGAATAGATAAAATAGAAGCAGGGAGGTTGTTTCCACTGGCAGGTGAAACTAGAACGAGGGGGCACAGCCTTAAAGTAAGGGGGAGAAGGTTTAGGACTGAGTTGAGGAGGAACTTCTTCACACAAAGGGTTGTGAATCTGCGGAATTCCCTGCCCAGTGAAGCAGCTGAGGCTACCTCGTTGAATGTTTTTAAGGCAAAGAAAGATAGAGTTTTGAACAGTAAAGGAATTAAGGGTTACGGTGAGGGGCTGGTAAGTGGAGTTGAGTCCACAGAAAGATCAGCCATGATCTTATTGAAAGGTGGAGCAGGCTTGAAGGGCCAATGGTCTACTCCTGCTCCTGTTTCTTAATTTCTTATGTTAATTTGAAATAAAAGCTTGATTATTCTGCAGCACCTAAGGGGGAGAAACAAGGTTAATAGTTTTGATTACCTTGATAGCGGCCTGAATTAGCTCAACTGCATCCTATCTCTGAGTGACCTCATTTAGGCTCACTCTCGGGTGCAGCGTTGTTGAGGGTGCTACATGGATGGCATTTGTCTTTCAGGCGTGGCATTATCACGGGCATCAGTTTGTTCCGTCGGATGAATTGAAGGAAATTCATGGCACTATTCCCAAGATTCCCTCAACCACAATGACCACCAAGTGCGGATTCATCCGTCGTTTATCTTTCACTGATGAAAGAACTGAGAAACTGGTGGAGAAACTCAGCGGGTCCAGTAGCATCAGTGGAGAGAGAAACACAATTAATGTTACAAGTCTGGTAGGATTTTCCTTCAGAACTTCCAGCTCCTTCTACCTTAGATGACGAGCAGTCCTTGAAATGTTAACTCTGTCTCTTTCCGCAGACGCTGCCAGGCCTGCTGAGTTTCTCCAACATTTTTAAGTTTCCAATTTCTGTGGTATTTTGCTCTTATTGATCGTTAACTGTTTGGCAATCGCAGCCGCTGAGGCACACAGGAGAGATTGGAACAAGCGAGCTAAAAACTTGGTCAAAGTGATGTCTCGGTGTTTCTTTGCAGACTAAGTCTTTAGGAAGACTGTTACCATCACTTGCAGGCCCACTGGTGGCTAGTCAGACCCATAAGGCCATAAGATATAGGAGCAGAATTAGGCCATTTGGTCCATCAAGTCTGCTCCCCCATTCGATCATGGCTGGTACATTTCTCAACCCCATTCTCCCGTTTTCTCCCCTTAACCCTTGATCCCCTTTCTAAACAAGAACCTACTCATCTTTATATTCAATATACTCAATGACTTGGCCTCCACAGCCCTCTACAGTGATGACTCCCACAGATTCAACACTGTTTAGCTAAAGCAATTCCTCCTTAACTGAGTTCTAGAGGGTCATCCCTTCACACTGAAGCTTCTCCCACACTGGTGCATGTGAACAGGAGTTACTCTGCGCTTGCTCATTGCAAGAACGGGATCTTGCTCTTCATTTCCCACCCCACAAATGAGGGGGCTGGTTTGACACCCTTCATCCAAGGAAAGGTTGGGTGCCACTCAACAGGCAGGGCGGACGATCAGGCATGGAAAAGTTCCTGCTCAATTTCACACCCTGTGTCATTTCAGCAGCGCTGAGGCAGTGCGCTGTCTTATCAACAGGAACTGGAACCAACGACCCATTGGCTTTCTTGCCCAGATCCAATGACAACATTCAAAGAAAGGAGGCTGAAGAATTCCACCAAGAGAGCTGGGCAACGTTTATCACTGAACCAACATGGATTACCTCCCCATTTCTGAAGAAGGGTCCCGACCTGAAACGTCGACTTTCCTGCTGCCTCTGATGCTACCTGGCTGGCTGTGTTCCTCCAGCTCCACACTGTGTTATCTCTGACTCCAGCATCGGCAGTTCTGACTATCTCTGGCCGTTTGCTTTTTTGAGCAATTGCTCCTTCTGGGAGCTTGCTGTGCACAAACAAAGAACTGAGATCCCTGCGTTGACTACGCTCCAAAAATTATTTCACGCTTTGAAGCCAGAGTCGTATTGGACTTGAAATGTTAACTCTCTTTCTTTTTCCACAGATGCAGCTGTTGAGTGGATGCTGAATCAATTGTTTGTTTTAAACCTTGAGATAGGTACAATTTTGTTGAGTCGAGGTGACGGGATATAGGCCAATGGCAGGAATATGGAGTCAGGCTACAGATCAGCTTGAATGTAGGAACAGGCTTGAGGGGTTGAATGGCCTACTCCTGTTCCAATGTTCCTGTGCTCCTCCAGGGTTCTTTTCAAAAATGCGTCCACAGATTTTGGAATAACTCCATGAAAGGTACTCTTCTAACTAGCCTTGGCCATGTCTCTCTGTGGATGGTGTTTAACATGCTAGCCCTGCAAACTCCATGGGACAATCACTGCAGATAACTTCCCACACTCTGTTGAGAAAGGGTTGAACTAACCACCCCACACAACAAAAAGAAAAACAAGGAAATGCCAGTTTCATCTGATGCAATCCCCCTTACAGCAATCTGTAACTAGGGCATTGTTGCTAGGGGTTTCACACTGTTTACCAAGATTCTGAATCACTGCCATGGAGTCACAGAGTCATATAGCACAGAATCAGACCCTTCGGCCCAACCAGTCCATGCCAACCACAATCTCAAACTACACGAGTCCCATCTGCCTGCGCTTGGCCCAAATCCCTCCAAATATTTCTTATTCATCTACTTATCCAAATGTCTTTTAAATGTTGTAACTGTACCCACATTCACCACTTCCTCTGGAAGTTCATGAACCATGCTCTGTGTAAAAAATATTGTCCCTCATGTCTTTAAATCTTTCAATATCTCACCCCAAAAATATGCCCCATAAGTCTTGAAATCCCCACTCTAGGGAAAACACATCTGCCATTCCCCTTAGCTATGCCCCTAATGATTTTATAAACCCCTATAAGGTCACCTCTCAACCTCCTATGCTCCAGTGAAAAAAGTTTGAACCTGTACCACCTCTCCTTATAACTCAAACCCACCATCCCTGGCAACGTCCTGGTAAATCTCTTCTGAACCCGCTCCAATTTAATATTATCCTTCTTTCAACAGGGAAACCAGAACTGGACACAGTACCTCCAGAAGACGCCTCACCAACGCCTTGTATAAATGCAACATGACATCCCAACTCCTGTACTCAAAGGTCTGAGCAACGAAGGCAAACGTGCTAAAAGCCGTACTATCCAGAACCCATGAATAACTGTGGGAATCCTGAGGGAATCCATATGGCTTAGGCAACAATAAATAGAACTTGCTTTTCTTCAAGGGAGTGATGGCCTGATGGTATTATCATGAGGCCGTATTAATCCAGAGACCCGGGTAACATTTCAGAGACCTAGTTAGAATCGTGCTGTGGCAAATGTTGGAAGTTGAATTCAATAGCTTAAAAAAAATCTGTATTAAGAGTCTAAGGCATTGCTGATAGTTGGAAAGACCCGTCTGATTCACTAATGTCTTCTAGGGAAGGAAACTGCCATCCTTACCTAGTCGGGCCTACATGTGACTCCAGACACAGCAATGTAGTTGACTCTAAAATGTCCTCTGGCGCAATTAGGGATGAGCAACAAACCCTGGACTAGCCAGCGATTCCCACATCCCATGAGTGAGGAAAATAAAACTTTAACTTCTCATGATATCCCACCGATTAATGGCTCGAATGGCATACAGGTAACTTAAGTGGCAGCCACTGAGCTCCTGTGAAATAGCTCACGACATTTTACTGCGTCATAGGTGCTACATAAATGCAGGCCTTTGTTGTTGCCAAATGCAAGAACTGATACAAGACTGGGTGAGATTGCTCACTCACAACAGGAAAAGAAATATTAAGCAATGAAAATAGAAAATGAGGACTAGGCACTCTGACGGTAGAGACTGAAGCACAAAGCAACTTTGCAAATCGTCTGCCTGAATTTGGAAAATATTGCATTCGGAGCTCTGATCACAAAACAAGCCATGTTCCAGGTACAAATTAATCAGCTCTCAAATATTAGAACGTCATTTAGTTTGAAATTGTCATGAAGTGCATCGATTTACCAAGAACATAATGCTCCATGACTTTTAAGAATTGGATTATTCACAGGTTAAGCATTGTCATATGAGGCTGTTCTCTCATTACAGAGAGGGACAGCTGGTGGTTGGTTTAACCTGAGGGTCACCTCAGCTGGCATGGCTGTTGTGCCCATGCATTGCAAACCAGCTGTCCAGCCAACTGAGCTAACTGCCCCCCTCCTTTTCTTTGCAATGATGCAATAATAAAAACCGCTGCACATAAGCAAAATCCTGCTGATGCTGGAGAAACTCAGCAGGTCTGGCAGCATCTGTGGAGAGAGTTAACGTTTTGAATTTGATATGATTCTTTTTTCAAAGGTTATTCAACATGAAGAGGGTGTTGTTGGCTAGGCTATTCCTAATTGCCCAGAGAGCAGGGAAAAGCTAAGTTGAAGCTTTGGGTCTGGAGTCACATGGAAGCTAGAGCAGGTAAGGATGGCAGTTTCCTTCCCTAAAGGGCATCAGTGAAACAGAGGGGTCTTTTCCCCCCCCCACCTTCAGACTTTTATTGGACCCAAATTACATCCTACTGCTATAGCAGGAGTTGAACTCAGGTCCCCAGACCATTGCATGGTTCTCTGGATTAATAGCCCAGCAATAGCATGACTTGGCCATCACCTCCCTCTGGGATCAT